AATGCCTTGTGCTATTTTTCCAAGATAAATTGCCCCTGTCTCACTCCCAAAATTTGACAGATGTGTGTAGCCAGTGGAGAGATTTAGAAAACTCACCCCTGAGGAATGTTCAGACCACGACTTCAGTAGCTCAGGAGAAGTTTGGAGGTGGCTTGGGAATGCTGTTGTGTTTGGCACAGAGGCTGAGGGCAGAAAAAAGGGGTTGAGGCCTCCAGAAATTAAAATGGAGGGATTTTTCTGGATTAAGACAAAGGGTGGTAGAAGAATAATGGAGATTTATCCAGCCCTGGTTCCTCAGCACAGCAGGGACAGGAGCTCCTGGAGCTGAGGAAGGGCCTGGAGCATCTCCATGCCCAGGAGAGCCTGAGGGGGCTGGGGCTGCTCAGCCTGGAGAGGAGCCCCAGCTGAGAGGGGCCTCAGACCTGAGTGTCCCAGGGGTGTCCCAGGGGTGTCCCTGTCCATCTCTGGGTGTCCCTGAGGTGTCCCTGTCCGTCCCTGTCCATCCCTGTCCATCCCTGTCCATCCCTGTCCGTCCCTGGGTGCAGGAGGGGCAGAGCAGGCCCAGGCTCTGCTCCAGGCCCGGCAATGGCACCAGAGCCACGGGCAGGGGCTGAGCCCAGCAATTCCCCCTGCACAGGAGCACAACTTGTGCCCTGGGCAGTGCCCAGAGAGGGGCTGGAGTCTCCTCCTGGGGATATTCCACAATATCCACAATCCGTGCCCTGAGCTTTTCTTGTGGGAGCAGCAAGTCCGAGGCACACCAGGCCCAGTGCGAGTGTGGATAAGCACACAGATATTCCCAGTGTTTGTTTCCTGCTTTTTCCCTCCTGTAGGAATGTCCTTCCACTCCCTTTCCCCTTCCAACAGGAACATGGATCTGCACTGGGAGTCTGTCAGGCCACCACTGCTCATCCTCAGTGACTGGAAGTTATTTCCAAACCATCCAAAAGCTTCTCCCTCAGTGGAACCAAACCAAGCCCTGGCCCTCCTTTTGAGTTTAAAGAGGACAAAATTCCCTGTGAATCTCTGGGAGGGGAAGATTAAAAATCTTTTTTTTTTTTTTTTATTTCTTTAGCCATTATGTCCATGTCCTGTTGTCCCAGATAATGGTGTTTTGACTAATGAGGAGGGCACTGGAGCTCTCCACCTCAAAACAGGGCTTAAAAATTCCAGTGTACAGCAAAACAGTTGAGCAGATTGGTTTGGGTTTTGATCCTTCTCTGGCCAATGGGATTCAGCCTGAGCAATGTTTTTCCTGCTTTATCTCCACGATAAACATTGGAAACTGCTCTTGCTGATAGGATACCTGGAAACTTGTTGTTGAAGAGCTCCAGAGCTTTCTTTTCCTTATTTATGACTCTGCCAGGAACGGGGGAAGCTGAGGAAGATCAAGGAGCTCTGCACACCTCAAGGTTATTCCCATTTCTTTCATTCCTTGGTTTTTTTCCACCCTGGGGAATGAGAGCCCTTCCCTTGGTTCTTTTCTACTCCTTCATCCCACCTCAGGGATTTGTGTCCTAAGGACAGCCAGAGGAATCTTTATTGTGTTGTGTCATTATTTACAGGCCCAGTGTTTGCTCAGTGTTCTCAAGGTTTGATTTATACCTCCAATTAATGCAAATTTACCTCCAATTAATGCAAATTTACCCCCAGTCTTGTTTGATCTCCTCCTGCCAGGCTCACCCACCTGGCTGCATGGTCCCAGAGCAGATTTCCTGCTGGTTGATCCCAAAACTCCCCCTCTTTGACACCTCCTAAGAGCTGCCTGGATTGGTAAGTGCTGAACTACTCCAGAGCGGGATTTGGGAATTAATTTTGTTTATAATTCCTGTTTTTTGCATACGAGGTCTCCTATGAAGTCTCTGCTAATCAGCAGAGGTAAAACTATGATTTATCCTACTTAAAGTAGCCACTAAACATGGAAAAAACANGGAATTACTGCAAATCCGCTGGGTTTGGGGTATTTTTGAGAATTATAGAATCAGGAAAGGGTTTGGTTTTGAAAGAACCCTAAAGATCATTTAGTTCCAACCCCAACCATGGGCAGGGACACCTACTGCTATCCCAGGTTTCTCCAAGCCCAGTCCAAGGTGACCTTGGACGCTTTCAGGAATGGGGCAGCCACAAAATTCTGTGGGCAACCTGTGCCTTCCTCACCGGGAAGGTTTTTCTTCCCAAAATCCCAATCTAGCCATATTAAACCCTCCTGATTTAACTGCTAAACATCAACAAATTATCATGTGCTGGACAGAAAGAAACTGGAAGCACCACCCAGCTCCTTCTCGTGGCTGGAGCAATTCCGGGTCAGCTCAGGTGAAGGATCCAACCCCTCACATTGCCCTCACTCCTCTCCCTGATTTGCAGAGCTAACCACACTGGGTTTCTCCTGCTCACAGCTCCATTCCTATAAAAAATAATCCCCAAATTTTATTGTGGCTGCCCAGCAGCAGACGTGGGTGGAGGTATCGGTGGCAGCCTCACATTCCTCAGCTTCTTGGGAACAGTTTCTGCTTAGCAGAGTATCAGGTTTAACACCCAGGATCCCTCTTCCCTGCTTCCCTGTGGAATTCCCAATGGGATTTTTTCATGCCGGGCCCTGGATGCAGCTGCTCCCTCCAGGAATAGTTGTAGGAGGTGGCTGGGCTTTGCTGTTTCAAACAGGATTTAATGGGATTTAATGGGCTCAGCCATGGATGTTTCCTCATCCATTCTCCTCTTCTCCTGGTTCCACTTTCCCTCCCAAATGTGTGTTTTCTGTTCAGGATGGAATTGATGGGGTTTGCAGTGGATATCAGGAAAATAAACCCCAAATTGAAGCCTCTCTCATTTGTCTGTTGCCATCACCTTTTAACTTTCAGGGCTCATCTATGTTATCATAGCAGGAAAAAAGGAATGGGGTGGGAAAAAGCTCCAGGACCATCATTTTCTCCTTGGTGATCAAAGTCTGATTGGATTAGGGTTGATCCCCTGTGTGAGCTGGGATATTTCATTTATTTTTATTATTATTTTTGTTTATTCAGTTTCAGAGCAGAGGCCTCCAAAACAAGGGAGGGAAGGGAGAGGGAGGGGATGGGAGAGCTGGGATTGTTCAGTTTGGAGAAGAGAAGCTTTGGGCCGAGCTCAGGGTGGCCTTGCAGGGCCTGGAGAGAGACAATTGCCAAGGGCTGCAGGGCCAGGAGCCAGGGAATGGCTGCCAGGGGCAGAGGGCAGGGCTGGATCTTGGGATCTTGGGCAGGAATTGTTCCCTGGCAGGGTGGGCAGGGGCTGGGATGGAATTGCCAGAGCAGCTGGGGCTGCCCCTGGATCCCTGGCAGTGCCCAAGGCCAGGCTGGACAGTGGGAGCTCCTGGGACAGTGGGAGGTGTCCCTGCCATGGCTGGGCTGGAACAAGGTGATCTTTAAGATCCCTTCCAACCCAAACCAGTCTGGGATTCTGTGATTCCATGAAAACCAAAAACAATTCTGAACATTCCATTTCACAGCTTCCTGCCCGTTTTGCATCCTGAAGCATTTCTGGTGAAACTTTCTCACTGAAGAGAGCCCCGAGTGCTTTTATAAGACCAAACCCCCACCCATTGCAAAATTCCAAGCAGTATCCCAAAATTTTGCTTTAATTCCCACCAGTAGGAGCCACAATTTGCTCCTCCACTCATCCAAACCCATTTATCTTTTTTAAAATAAAACAACAGAACTAAAATAGACATCTCAGAGCAATTCTTGGATTGCAAGGGGCAGGTTGCCATGCCACTAAACCACTGTTTATTTGTTGAGGTTTTTGGCTAGAAAAGGATTGAGGGTGATTTTAACTTCCTATTTTAGCGAGTCTCGAATGGGAGAACAAAACCTTTTGTGTCACGGATACAAATCCACGTTAAGAGTTGAATTTGGAGCCCATAAATTGCTTTAATCGAGTTTTCTGCTTCTTTCATATCACAAGGAGGGAGCCACGTCCACCTGTTCCCTTGGAAGTTTTAACCATGGCCAATTCCCAGACCAAAGGGGAACAGGAGGGGAGGAAAAGCTTCCACCACATGGTTTAAGTTGAGAGATTCCTTCGTGCCAGAACCGAGTGTAAAATGTCAAAGGATTTGACCTCCACGCTCAGAAAAAGGAGATTCCGACCTCAACTCACCCCTTCCTTTTGTGCTGAGGGGAAAACAAAAACCAGGCAGAGCCATGTGAGCTGTGCTGAGAGGTTTTGAGCCTTGAGAAGCATTTAAATTGATATTTATAATAAATATAAATATATCTATGTATTAAGGTTGAGTTTCTCCCAACACCAACCTGTCCCAGGCACTAAATCCACAATTCCTAATTTTACAGTGGTTAAAGTTAACCAGAGTGGGTAATTCCAAAATATATGAACATTAAGGTTCCATAAGCAGAAATTCCTTTTGCTGGGCCAACAGAAATATTTGAAAATTCAGGCCCAGAAGATTCTTGGGGAGGCATCGATGTGGAGTTAATAAATTGCATAAATAAATGAGGTTAGGAATGTCATCCAAAAATTTGCAATTAAATAAATTCTTTTTTTTTTTTTTTTTTTTTTTAATTAACCCATAAAATGTTCACAGAATCATAGAACCAAAAATTGTTTGGGTTGGAAAAGAACCTTAAAATCAGCCAGTGACCAGGTTGCTCCAAGCTCCTGGTCTTGAATATTCTCCACTATTTTCCAACTGTTTGGATTTTTTCACCTGGGGATTTATTAATTATTTATTGAAAAAGAAATTAAATCAAGCTCTTTTCTCTAGGGAAAACAAATATTCGCTTTAAGCTGCACCTCTGGTTCTTTTTTAGGCTTTGATAACCTTAAAATACCTGAGTTTGCTTTTTTTTTGCTTTTTTTTTTTTAAGCAAATTTTGTAACCTTAGATGTTCAGTTTCCCACTTTTATGACCAAATCTAAAATCCC